ACAGTCAGACTGCCACCGTGCGAGAAGCAGAGGGAAAGCTGGAGCGCTGCTGCTGCTGCTGCTGCTGGGGGAGAGGGAGAAGAAAAAAAAATGTTGCCCGCTGTTTTATTCATCGGTGCAGAGCTGCTGGTTGGATTTCTGAGCGTTTTTACGCACGGTGAAGATTTTAAACAGGCTATTCCATTAACGGATAAAACGACTCTTATATGATCTCGTTGGCTTTTACGCATCATTTTGTGAAAGCACGCTGAAACATCCACCAGCAGCTTTCAGCAGAGCATCACTATAATTTAATATTTCTGCAAGAACTTAAGTCGTCGGAGCTGACTGCAGAGTTATCAGTGACCTCTCGCCCAGCTTTATCTTTAGATTCCAGGCCTTTGCTGCAGAATATAATGAAGTAGGTGTTATGTTTGGGAGCTATTTTCATGATTAAAGACTGTTTTCTCGCAGCAACACCTGGAGCTGTGCACAGATGTTTAGTGGGAGACAACGTGGGTATTCGTGCTGTGATATTAAAGGCTTGGTGGGTCCAAATGGTGCTGCTGTGGTGAAGTTTCTCCTCCTTCAAAGCAGAAAGCTGACGCTTCCCCCCCCTAAAGCAGAGATGTGGGCATCCTCCCTGAGAAAAATCTGAGCATCAGACACTTCATTTCCTGCATTCTTGTGAATTTTAATGCACCGATTTGCACTTCTTTGCATCAATTTGTAGCGGAAATGTGGAAATCCAGGCACTTTGAGTATTCTAAATATTGCATCCCCGCTGAAATCTATGAGCTAGAGGACCCTTGAGTTGGATTAAATGATTTACAGATGCAGTTACGCAGATTTTCCCACTGAATATAAAATGCCGGTGCCCCCTGAAATCCCCCCCTGGTGGACCCCACTTAGTGGACTAGTGGATCCGGTGCACACTCCTCCTCCTAATGCAGCACACCCCTTGTCTGCTGTGACTGATGTCGGCTTAAATCGCTCCCGCAGGCTGAAGCTTGTGACAGACAGGGAGCACAGCAGGGGGATGGAGGGGTCTCCGGCGCGTGATGGGGGCTCGGCTACATTACAAAACATGTCAATAAATCTGCTGCACCGAAGCTGGACGCGTCAATGCATCATTTATGGCCCAGTCAGCGACGGTATCCCGTGCAGGTCATCTCATATCCTGCACTATTTAATAATTCAATGTGTATATCCCGGAAAATATGTGTATAGGTATTGCAGAACAAGTCACCTAACCGTACTGCCGAGGGCCCGTCGAGGTAGCTTGAAGTTCTTTTTTAAAAACACTTTTTTGATTTCTTAAACACGTCTTTAAGTAGCCCCAAAAACAGCCTGTTAATTCGGTTGCCCTGCAGAGCGAGGACTGCTGAGGGTGCTGTGAGGCGAGCAGTTAGCCTGAAGGGCATCTTTCATAACAGGCCTGTGAGGAGGGGGGCAAGTGTCAGGAAAATATTACGTGTAAAATTTTGACTTGTCACCACATTAGCCTCATTTAGCTTAGCCTACAGGCTAGCTAACAGGTGGAGACTTTAAATTAAGTCTGCACACCCCCACTCAACCACTACTGAAGCCCACACAGAACTGGAGTTACACCCAGTAACTACTAGTTTTTATCGGGTGGAACCTTTTTTTGCGGAACCATTTTTCTACAGCTTTTGTTCCCGTACAAGTGCATTTTAAAGGCGCGGCCACACCCCCTATTCAACTACATTAAACCAAGTAGTTCTGACCAACCAGAAAAGGTCCACACTAAGTTGGTAGCAACTCAGATATTTCAAATTATTGTCATTGATTGTGTTAAAGAGCCATATTTACATGCATTTAAAGCATGTTGTTATTAAAGTGTGAAGGGTTTAGGTTCAGCTGTGGCTGTGGTTGTTTCCTGAGCTTTCCAAGGTGTGCAAGTGGTACAAACTGCTGAAAAATTCAAGACTGACCCAGAACCTGCAGCCAAAAGAAAGAAAGGAAAGGCTGGATGGGCACAGTGTGGTGTATCAAGTATTCATTAGGACAAGGACACTTTTGATGTACAATTTAAAAAGTAAAAAATACAAAAAAATTTTAGCAATCATTGCAGATTTTTACTTAGCTCCAAAAAAAAGAAAAAAAAAGAAGCTTATTGTAGTGTATATGAGTTCTCATGCACTTAAATAAGGCGATTTTGCATGCACAAGCAAATAAAAAGAGTGAGTAACCAAAAAAAATGACATTTTGGCCTCCAGGGATTTGCTTTATGCCACCCCAGTGTGATTAATGGTCCCAGCCTGGCCAGCCGTGTAAAGATTGTCTGGCTCCACCACCGCTCTCAGTTTGTCAAATGTCAAGTAATTGAATTGGAACTCAATGTAAAATGTTGCTTTTTACAGGTAAATGAGAGTAAAGCAAGCAGCCAGGTGTTACCCTGGAGTTAGGACGTCTCCATTAGTGCTTTAGTTAACTGACAGAGAACACGTTGTTAGTATTCACTGTCAAATCCACGGCGAGCACAGACACCCGATACCTCAGTTAGGTAATACACACAATAAGTCATGTTAATTGAATAGAGGCCAGGGCCTTTCTTTTTTTTTCTCATACGGGATCGGCATCTCGGGTTTCATGGACATTTGGAGCTTTATTTATTCAAGGGATACAGTACATAACACACCAATGTAGTGTGCAGGCTGCAGTGACACAGCAGCGCTCAGGGTTGTTTGGCCACACAGAACCTTTTAACCTCTCTGCTGTCTCACCGAGTCACTTTAAAAGAAAAAAAAACAAAAAAACAACCATCCAGCCAGCGTCGTGACAGAGGCGCACTCATGCACGCTCCTGCACCGGGGACGCACATGCACGGTGCATTAGCATAGGTATCGGTTACTAGAATTCAATAGCTCGCCTGCTGCAGCGAGATTAACTATTCAGGGCAGGTGGTTAAAGGGCCTATTGTGTTGCACGGTTCTGTGCTACTGTCATGATTGGACAATGCGTTTGTCTGGTGGGCAGCCCACTGCCAAAACAATTGCAAGGGCAAAGGGCTGGAAGAGTACACACACATATAAGGTTTCGCCATGTGAATCATTTCTAGCTCTGCTGAGCAAATTTAAACAGAACTAGGTGAGTGCAGGTGCAGCATGCAAAGGCTACCCAGCTAGTTAATATTCCGCTCCGGTGTCATCCGGGTTTTTTTTTTTTTTTGTTTGGTATAAACGAGTTTGAATACTGGAGGAAATGTTATAAAAAAAAAATGTTAATAGTAATACGGGATTCGAATATGAAGTGGTACCATCCTAACATCTTTCTGAATAGCTGTTTATGATTGTAATCCCCCAAAGACATGCAAATGAGAGAGAGAGTGGCGGTGGATAATTAGTCATATTTATCAGGATCCCAGCAGGCCCTTACAGATAGCAGGCTAACGTTTGAGGCTAAACACATGTTCTGGCTCACCTCAATGGATTTTCACTCATCATGGAATCAACAGCAGTCGTCTACTGGCTGGTTTTATTTATTTGCCATGTGTGTTTTTTTTCCCCCACCCCTCCACTAAATATCTGTGTTTTGCTCTCAGAATTTGGGAACCTAAATTAAGGGCTCAAAACTCTAAACGATCTTTTCAGTTGATGCACAAAATAAAATGAGCAACTGGTAGAAATGAAGCCCTGCACGAAATGCTCGTAAACCTTTTAATGCATGTGATTAGTGGATATTTTGTGGTATTTAATGGCCACATGCAGAGCGAGATCTGCAGCGAATGGTGCTTTCAGTGTCCTTGGAGTTTGATTTAAACACATAGAGATGATTTGCCTGATCACCGCGTTCTCCACTCTGCTTCCAGTGAACAGCATTTTTCACCTGAATTGTCTTTTTTTTTGCACTAATATAAGCGAACATCAGTTACAGCTGTTGGACAGATGATCAAAATTTTACATTTTTAAGTTTGACAAGTGATGTGTTTCTTGCAAAATTACTTTATCTGCCTTGATTAGATCAGTTTTGGTGCCGCAATAGCTCACTAGGTTGAGCTGGCACTCCCCGTATCGGGTAACAGTCCCGATGTGGAGGTCGTGAGTTCGAAGCTGGCTCTCGGCTCATTCCGTTTAGCACTGTTGCCTCGCAGCAAGAAGGTCGCCGGTTCGCGTCCCAGTGGGGGCACCGGAATCTTTCTGCATGGAGTTTACATGTTCTCCCCGTGCAGCGTGGGTTCTCTCCGGGTTCTCCAGCTTCCTCCCACACAGTCCAAAAACATGTTGAGGTTAATTGGTGATTCTAAATTGTCCATAGGTGTGAATGTGAGTGTGCTTGGTTGTCTGTCTCTAAGTGTAGCCCTGTGATAGACTGGTGACCTGTCCAGGGTGTCCCCTGCCTTCACCCTAAGTCAGCTGGGATAGACTCCAGCCCCCCATGACCCTAGTGAGGATTGTGTATAGATAATGGATGGATGGATGGATCAGTTTCGGAGCTCTCAAGTGTATATATTCATTACATGGCATGCTTTATTTGCAGGTGGTCCCTTTGTTTTGCAACCTGACATTGAAACATGTGGATTTCTTGGTGTAAATATCTGTTTTCTTCCCCCCACAGCTCTGTCAAAGGCGTGTCTGCAGCTGAAGATCAAACCATGGGGCATGGAGCTGGACCCATGCTGACCGTCATGTGCTTCAATCCAGGAAGTCGCCTCAAAGAAAAATCCCAAGATGTAGCTCTGCTTCATTGACAAAACACACGACACTCCGTCATCGTAGCACTTTCACCTGTCCACTGTGTGTGGAAGCTGGATATTTTTCCACGTATCTCCCTCCGTAGACTCGGCGAACAAGATTAGATCCGTTATCAACATCAGATCTGCCTCTAAAGTAAAAAATATAAGGATATTGCATTGTCTGCTTGACTGTTAAAAATATCTATGTGGAATATAACAATCAGCAGATAAGCCCTGGAACAAAACTGTAATCAGATGTTCTTATCACTTTGAGGATCTATCCCCAGTTCTCACCCTCTTCTGGCTCACCCTGTTGCTCTCCGCGATGAATCCCAACAGCCTACCGGGGCATCTCGTCGTGCTGCTAAGTACTGTTCTGGGCCTGAGCGTAGGTTTGGAGTTCACTGGCTCTGAAGGTCAGTGGGCTCGCTACCTGCGCTGGGACGCCAGCTCCAGAAGTGACCTGACGTTTCAGTTCAAGACCTCAGAATCGGAAGGCCTGCTGATCTACTTCGACGACGGCGGATACTGCGACTTCCTGCTCCTCACCGTAACCGAGGGCAAGATGCAGCTCCGCGTCAGCATCGACTGCGCCGAGACCACCATCACCTCCGACAAAATGGTCAACGACAGCCGCTGGCACTTTGCCGCCGTCAACAGGCACAACTTGCGGACTGGCTTGGCCGTGGACGGTCAGACCAAGACGGAGGAGGTGCGGCCCCAGCGGCAGTTCATGAAGATCGTCAGCGACCTCTTTCTCGGAGGCCTCCCGGGGGACATCCGCACATCCGCCATCACCCTGCCCTCCGTCCGCGAGCTGCCGCCGTTCAAAGGAATTATCACGGACCTCAGTTATGGGAGTAAGCTGCCCACGCTAATCAATAGTCAGAAGGTACGCTTGGAGATGATGGGCCTTTGCACAGAGAACCCCTGCGAGAACGGTGGGATCTGCTCACTGGCAGATGGAGAAACCTACTGTGACTGCTCCAAAACTGGATATGTAGGTCGATACTGCACCGAAGGTAAGAGGGCTGGCTCCAGAGCTTTCTGTGTCAAGCGCTGAATATTGATTAAAATCTGTGTAAAAAAAAAAAATTCAGAGGGATTCCTTTACAAATATAGAGTGGACCTAACAGCAGGTCTGCCGTCTGCTTCCTGGTATAAAGTTAAAAAAGAACTGTTGTATTAACCTCTTATGTTCTCTTTCTTTTTCTGCAGATGTGTATCATTAAAACCACCTCATGCCACGTTGGCGTGAAAACCCATAATTCTCCATGCAGACTTTTTGGAATTAGATTTAATTTCCATAACCCGCGCTGCTGTTGGCGCCTGCTGCCTAATGTGATTTGTGCCACACCAAACTTCATTTATGAAATGCCTTGAAAAATGCGCATTGATTGCGGAGCAGCGTTTTACACAACAGTGTAATTTATACGAAGCAGGAGCGACGGCGCTCCGGCGTGTCTGTCGAGATTTAATGCGATCCGCACAGGACGGGAGAGTCAGAATGCTTCTTTGTGGGTTGTTGCTCTTACGGCTTCTTTTAGAAAGTCCTCATATTTCATGTGGGAGTTAAATTGGAGGTGATGTGCTCAGCATTTCCTCTCCTTTTCACAGTTATTACTTTTGATGAGGCAGTGGTGGATACGGTATTAGCTGATATGACTAAAATTACAACACTGAGTTCTCTCCTCCTCTTCTTTTTTTTTTTTCATTAAATGTATTCAGATTTTGCAAGGTGCTGCAGGGACCTGAAGGTACACACAAAGTTTGGATGGGAAACAACTTCATCTATTTTTCCTCTGCTTCTGTGCCAAGGCCGTCGCTTTTTTTGGGGGCCGTGTAATGAGATGCAGCACTTTGACAATATTCCACCATTCTGTCTCCACACCTTTAGAGCTTTAGGTGTTAAATACATTTTAAAAAAAGCTTTTTTTTTCTTGTGTATAGGCTCAAATGGCCCCATGAAAGTCATAGAATATATATTTTTTTAACATTTATTCCTTAAAGATGCCACAACTCTTCCCCTCTTTTTTCAAGAAACACTAAAAAGTAATGTTCTCTTATATTGTGCGCTGAACTGCTTTCAATTTTTGTATGGCACCGCAGCTGCCTAATAGTAAAATCTTTCAACGCACACCGCTGCTTGTATCCTTGAGATCAATGCCAGCTGATGCCAAGAGTAACTTGTTAAATTTCCTTTTTTTATTTATTTTTTTTCTTCTCCACATCAGAGAATTTTTTCAAATTTTCATATTTATAGCGGCAATCCGGTGAATACACAATTTCCCTGTAACCTTACACGCTTTTTCTTCAAGATTGTGGGGAGATAACTTTGTGTGAACAGACCCATGTCAAATTTCCTTCTCTGCTGACCCAGTTCCTGCCTGTTCGAATCAGACTGACATGGCTGAGGGATGACTCCATTTTGCCAAAAATCAGGGAATGCTCACTGAATGCTGCGCCGCTGATTGCGAGCTATTTGAAAAACAGCTAAAACGCTATAATTTGCCAGCGTTATAGCATGCATTTAAGAGTGTTTTTTTTTTTTTTTCGGTTTCCTAATACGTTCTAACATTTTGCACCCAAAACGAAGCTGTTTGGAGCTTAAATCCCGAGCGCCAGCCCCGTGGCATTGTTCAGGACAGCACGCGATGTGCTGGTTGCAGGGCAGCCAAGCGGACGGACTGGACTTGACCCCTTTTCGCTTCATCCCATTTGCTCGCTGCCTGTGTGTCGAACACTCGATTGAGGAGAAGTAGGTGGTCCATTTGTCTGAGAGCTGACCTGGGGGGGGGAGGGGGACAGGGGGGGAACTATGACATCTCGGAGTTAAAACAACCCCAGGTTTTGAGAGTAGCCACGCGGGTTTGAAAAGAGGCGGCCGGTGTCTGGGGGGCAGACCGGGTGAGACGAGTGAATTCACCGCTGGCTTGTTGTACCCTCTAATTCGTCCCAGACACCTGTTCTCCATCTTTCCTCTGCTTTCAGGCCGTAAAAGAAAAAAAAACGAGCGAGGCAGGGAGGGTAGTCATGTTAGCTCCCCCAGCTGATCTGGCTGCTGCTCTTTTCTGCTTTCTCATTAACTGATGTGGCTGATTGTTGATTATGCCACAGAGACTGGGAACCATAATTAGGAGGATAATGAGAACAGAGATGGCTAATTTGCCTGGAAAATGCCTGCGCAAACACCACCGTCAATTCAAACTGTCTGTCAGCAGATGAGCACGCTGCTGCTTTTTTAAAAAAAAAATTAAGTCCACATGTCCACAAGTGGCAAAAATACTTGTTGTTGCAGCAACGCGTGTGCACAGAATGCTTTCAGGGGACATTCAGAGTGATCAAACTTTCACTGTGTGCTTGCAGAACAGCTTAGCACACCTGTCTTTGTCGGTATACTGTGATTATGCTGTACATTAATGAGCGGTGAAAGCAATCTGTCAAACCTGTGAATATTTATATGTTGCATTATCAGACGGCAGAAGTCCAGGCTTTTTTTGCATGCACACACACATTTGCATTCGCAGGCATGCACACAAACACACACATTACCGCGAAGAAGGCCCCGAAGCTGCTCGTTAAAACGGGCAGATGGCTGACTGACTGAGCGAACTGGGCCTGGGAAGCATTTTGCCAGCCGTGTTCCTAATGGTAGCCTGCTAGCCCACTGGCCTAGAAGAGGGGGAAACGCGAGGAGTGGGCAGAATTAACATGTGAAATCAAAGGAAACAGGAAAATTGGTGCTAAAAACGTGCACACTCCCGTACGGTTTGGTTGCTTCCATCATGGGACGGCCGCGTTAGCCCGCCGCTGCTGCTAAAGCGTCGCCGTTAGATCACGAGACGGTTTCCATCTCTGATCTCCTGCAGCTCTTCCCAAACCGTCCAGCTCAGCTTGCAGCTTAGCACCATAAACAGTTGGCCATAAAACACATGTTCAGCCTCTCCTCCCATGCGGATCAGGATGTATCAGTGTGACTAACTGTGTCAGGGCAACGAACTGAAATTAGACACCACTCACCACTCGCTGTCCATACATGTCGACTTTGGCAGACCAATCCGCTGCTTGGAGTCTCACCGCTCCGTCTTGTCATCGGCCATTCTCTTTGTCATTTTTTGAGAAATTATTATTATTATTAATATCAACTCCATTCTGCTCCTGTTATTAGTTGAGCAAATATCTTTTATGGTAATGATCTGGATATTGAACCTGAATCTGCGCAATTAACTTAGCGGCGGTGACATTATGAAGTCTCATGAATACCTCGGGGTTTCGGCGCTACAATGAGATATGCATAAGGTCAAGGTTGTTAAGAGCTACGCTGGATTGAATATGTAAAACGCTCGCCCATTTCCTCTTTCAGACTCCCACATCCTGCATTTGTAATGAGCAGTTTAAGGCTCCTTTTTTTTTTTTTATGCCTTTTAAAAAATGTGCTGCGACTTGATGGAAGGCTAGTAATTGAAGGCTAGGGCAAGCAAACTGTTAAGCAAGTGCTGAAACGGTGCCTTCAGGCTTAGCTTTGGGGATTAATAAACAGACATGGAAAAAATGACAGTTACAATAATCTTACTATAAAAAGTAGGTCAGGGAGAGAAAAAAAGGAAAAAAAAAAAAAATGGTGCAGGGACTTGCCTGATTCCAGTGCAGAGGGCATTTGTGTCTAGTGCCCAAGCTGAAAATTATGTTTGGATTTGAGTGGTGAAGCTGCTGGTAAAATAGAGCAGGGGATTACGCTCGGACCACATGTCCTCCACAGCACATTGGCTTGTTCTGAGCACTGTTGCATTAAGAGAAAGGGGGTTTTTATCTTCATGGGAAACGGAGCATTTTAACATGCATGCAGCGCGGCGTAATGCACGGTGACTGAGTGCAAGCAGAAAAAGCTCGCTGGTCGGTTCAGGCGTGTGAATTCGAGGGGGTTTCGGAGTCGCCCCCCCCAGTTCTTCCAGAGCTGCACCGCTGTCCGTCAGCTCGGCCGCCCCCCCTCCCCCCCGCCTCTGCTTCCACGCTTCGTCCTTCCCTTTCCTCTGCCAATGTCATCCTTCTCGTGTGGGAGGAGAAGTAGCATCCATTTTAGACTCCCTAAAGGAGACGGCAGGAAAATCTCACCTCACCAGCAGCTCCTGCACAACGTGTCTCCCTGCCCCTCCTCTCAAAATGATATTCCCGTCCCGTGTCGGGTTTCTTAAATTCTAACATTAAACACAGACTTAATGCCGTCAAGGAGGAAAAGAAAAATCCATCGCGAGAGTCCCCCGGTTCTATCAGGGCCAGTCCTCGAGATCGAGGCTCCCCACACGAGCATTAACATCTGATATTGTGTATTAGAGCCGCTCCTTAAACGTCTGTCTTAATTAAGATTTGTTTAATTTCCTCCTCTTGATGCTCCTCGGGGGCGCTGATTACAAGTCCCTGCATATTCCTTCTCAGGTTGAGACCAAAGCGGTAAAAAAAAAAACACTCAACATACAAGAGCTGCTGCTGAATTCAATCGCTGTCTTCCCTAAATCGGACTGGCATGTTTGATACCCCACGAGGTGTCATCCACGGGTGAGATCCTGGTGAGGATGTTTGCCGCCAGGGACGAGAAGCTCAACGCGTGGCTTCTTTTTTTTGTTGCTGCCACGCCATGCCGTGAGAGTTGCACAGTGAGCATTCCTCTGAGAAACAGCGAGGGGGTGTGTTGATTCTGGGTCAGCGGCAGAGGAGAAAAAGCATGGGTCTGAGAAGGAGCATCCCGAGATCCACAAACCTCACCACACCATAAATCCTCAGGGATTTATGTATCTTTACTTTTGTACGTGTTGTGAGGGACTCTGTGTGATACGAGATGCGGAATATTATGTTACTGTGACAATATTCGAAATGTGAAAGAGTTGTTTGCCAAATAGGGGGGTTAGACGTCAATCTGGTTCCCCGAGAGGACGGGACAGATGAGATTTCACGTGTTTTCTTTCCACAGGGATTTATACTTGAATCAGTTTAATCAGGCATGTCAAGAGGCATCTCTGTGCTCCTTACATGATTAGAAGTGTGGTATGTTTTGCATGTTAGACCCACATGCAAAAGCAGCTGAAGTGTGTTGCTAATGCGATGCTTTCTCTTTGCTTTCTCTCTTTCCTTTTTTTTTTATTTTGTCTCCTGTGACAACTCCACAGCAGTCCAGAGAAAACCAGGTGAGTCTCAAGAAGAATTAGTCATAGTTTGAGTTAAATAGTAGCAGCGGCTCATGTCATAGTAAGTTATTAATAATGTATGTTTTCACCTGTAAAAGGCAAGCACAAGCCGCACCAGTAATCCAATTACAGCATTTATAATTGACACGTCTGCGGTAAACAACCTCCACAGCTGCTTTATATTCACATACAGTCTAGCGTTAGTGTCTTTAGTCGTCATTTGTCTGTTTCGGCGGAAAGCTTTCACTGGAGGAAGCTTTGCTTTTAGTGTGATAGCCATGGTTTGCCGTCATGCAAAGCATGCGTACTGACAATACAACTGCAGTATTGGCGTGGTGGTGTTCTCAATTTTTTCTCTCTGTTCCTGTCTGTTTGATTTTTCTCTTCAAGGCCTCGCACACCTGAAGGCAGAGCAAGGTACTCTCTTCTTTTTCTCTCTCTACGTCTCTATTATTATTATTTTTTGTTTACTCACCCCCCTGGCTTGGTTTTGGGGCGTAAAATTTACACTGTATGCCTTCGCTACCTGTCCGTGTGCATTTGTGTGTGCAATGCATTTGTGTGTGCAACGCTCCCGCTGCTGCTGCTGCTGCTGCAGAAGGGCGAGTGTTTGTGTGTTGGCGGGGAGGGGAGTATAGTAGCATGGCATGTCCCACATCTCACCTTCCTCTCTCTCTCTCTCTCCCTCTCTCTCTCTCTCTCTCTCTCCTCAGCCTCGTTTCACCTGTGTATTACATAATTGTGTACTATTTTCAGTTCCACAGCAAACATGCAGTGACACAGGCCACTGTGGGGGGGTGGGGGCGGGGAGGAAAGCGGCAGAGCAGGAGGGCGGATGAGGAAATCAGGGGAATTCGGGGAGACAGCTCGTAGAACACAGAAGAGGTGTGTTGTAAAAGTGGAGAGTAAAGTGCAGAGAGGTGCAAGTAGTGAAGGAATCTAGTATCCCTTGAATTTAATTTTCTTTTGGACAAATCACAAGTTGCACCTTCCAGCCGGTGCCAACGTGGGGAGCAGTGTTGAGGGCTGGATGTTGGATTTGATGGGTGAATCAGAGTTTCACTTTTTGCTTGTTTTCAGGCAGTTTTTGGATTTCTTTATGCTACTTTGTTCAGTGTAGGCAACAACATTACTGAAGTTCAGGAAAAGGTCATGGTGAAGGAAATACAAACAAACACCTATCACTTGCTGTTCATGTTGGTTTTCAGTTGCTTTTGTATACACTACAAAACTACTTGGTTAGATTTGGGTTAATACCGCCATGCTAACCCTAAACACACAGCACTGGCTGTAGATTGCCAGCTGGACAAGTCCAACCCCAAGAATCCATCCATCCATTATCTATACAACACTTAATCCTCACTAAGGTCGAGGGGGGCTGGAGTCTATCCCAGCCGACAGGTCACCAGTCTATCACAGGGCTACACTTAGAGACTCACATTCACACCTACGAACAATTTAGAATCACCAATTAACCTCAGCATGTTTTTGGACTGTGTGGGAGGAAGCCGGAGAACCCAGAGAGAACCCACAAACTCCACGCAGAAATATCCCGGGCCACCTTGCAGCCCCACCTCAAGAATACCAACTAAAAAAACACAAGACTCTCATCATTTGACTGTCTTTTAGGTGAAAATAATACTTGAGTGCTTTCAAATGAGCTTCTTCGGTTTTGCTCAGTCAACGTACCAAATCAGAGAAGTAGTTCAGAGTTCCCGATCACCGTCATCACACAGTGTAACTTTGCTGTGTTGTCCAACATTAGTAAACTTTTCTGATGAAAAACAGACTGGATCGGCCAAACTAGCATTTATGACGGTTCCAGTTTGTTCAGAAATCTCCACAGAATCTCCCCAAATCTTCCCTGCGAGGTTAAAGCCTGCTGAGTTCTACTGAATTTGATCAATTAAAAACTGATTCGATAGCGCTAACCAGTAGTCTGACTCACCAGATGTAGACTTCAGGTATCAGATTGCCATTTATTCAACTACATGCATTTTTAGATTTCCTTTGCTATTGCAAATACAAACCTGCACACTGATATATTTGAAATTGTGCAATTCGTCAGACCTGTGTGTTATTTTCATGAACTAGTTTAATGACAGTTCTGCCCCAACATTATTTTGCAAGGACACCATTGCTGCATCCTTGGCTCAATGCAGCCCAAAGAAATGCTAACAATCCAGAGCATTCGTCTCCCTATAGCAGAGTGATAATGAGGTGCTGTCAGACCATTCTCCACATAGATCCGGCTATGTGCCACGATGAAAACCAAGCAAGGTCAACAGATTTGTCCTCTTCATTTGGATTCACCCACTACAGATGATTTATTTCATTAGGATGTGCAAATGATTTTTTTCTCTGTGCCTCTTTCTGGTGTGAACTTAGCATCGTGATTCACTTAACAAAAAAAAAAAAGAGATGAATAGCTGAAATTGTGAAGTGTCAGTTGTTTGCTGCCCATGTGCCCTCCCTCCATTTCCCACCATTTGCATGATTGTCAACATTTTGCATGTTAAGTGTCAGTTGGGAGTGTACCGGCACAATTTAGACTAACAATAGCTTCTACCCTTCTACTTTCTTCTTTTTTTGCTGTCGTTCTCTGGTGCTCTGCCTGGGATGACACTCTTCCCTCTTTTATCTCTACGGATCCTTTCTCCTCTCCAAAAACTGTAGGTAGAAACAAAGGTACAGCAATCCCTTTTTTTCCCTACTGTACTCTTATCTGAGCTGAAAGTGCTGCGTGCATGTGTGTGTGTGTGTGTGTGGAGTCTGTGCTGCCACCGGTTAATCATTTATTATGTGTGTTCATTAAACGCGTTCACATGCTCGCCCGTGTGTTTGAGAGAGAAAGCGAGCGTGCACATTTACTGTTGCATGAAGGGTGAATGATTGAACAGAGGGATGAGTGAAGATGGAAAGAAAAAAAAACTAAAACGTGTCAGTGCTGGAGTGATTTTCACTTGATTAACACTGTTTAATATAAAATGATGACAGTAAGCTCTGCTATGGATTATTCAGTGTCTTTGCAAACAGTAAATATTAATGATAGACTGTCTGTGTGAGGATGCACACGCGTGTACAGATGCACAGATGTTTGTGTGTGTGTGTGTTTGTGTTTAATTGGATATGACTCCTCTGTGTCGGTTGAAATAGAGCTGATTGGTGAATTTGACCTGACATCTGGCTGCAGGCCATCGCAGCAGGCTGTGTGTATTGCAGTCGCGCAGACAATATCTTCATTATTCATTTAACAAAGCAATGTGGGATACTTGTTGTTGTATTTGTATCTGGTTATGCGTGCTATTGTGTGACATGCTGTGTGTGTGTGCGCCTCCTTTAACTTGATCTTGATGGATATCAGCTTAAAGAAAGTTGTGTGTTTTTTTGTTAGTTTTGACTGAAATGGCTGCTGGGAAACAGCTGACTGTATTTACCATCAACTAGTTGTCTGTTAGCATGAATGTTAGCAACACATTTGCTCTTTTTTTAATCCTTATGGAGCTCTTTTGGTGCCTTAGTCTGCATAAGCATCTTCTACAGTAGCTACCTGAACCCCAAGCAGTTTGTAAGCATTTTTCTTTGCTCCTGTCACTTTATTTTTTATTTTTTACATACTGTAGACAAATTTTTCACTCCAATACAAAGTCCTGCACCTCTATTTAAACAGCACAACATGGCTAGAAGTAGAAAAGAACTGCAAGTGCATATGGAAAAACATTATCCATGCTGATTTCAGGTTTATCTTTTAACATTTTTGTGAAAATAATAATCATGCTGCACAAAATTGCACAAAAAACCTCCAGTAGTGGTTGTGCTGTATCCATTTAACAATTTCCCTGAAGTTTACACCGAAGGGATCAATAAAGTTTTATTCTATTCTATTCTATTCTATTCATGTTGCACTTAAAAAAAAAGAAACATCCAGAATCTGCTTGGAGCTTAAAGAGTTAAAATAAGACAAGAAACCGTAAAAGACTGTAAATTTGTTTGGTTGCTTCGTTGACGAGCTCGTTCACATTTCCAGACGATGCGCTTTGACCTTCAACGTAACGAGAAAAAAGGCTTTCGGGATAAGAACTAGGCGATGTGTTTGGCAGACGTGACTCTGTCTCGGGTAACGTTTTCTGGGACTGCCGGAGCGTAGCCCTCCTTTAAATCCATCCATCAATCCAATCCATTACCCAAAACGGTGATATCACCCAGGATCTGCTTGCACACAGTGGATATGAATAACTCGTAATCTCACAAACTGACATAATGAGACGTCCTTTCTTGGCCTTGGAAGTGATTCTGGGTTGTAAGTATTAAGCTCAGCAGTCAAACGCACTGTTCAGCCCATTCTTTGAGCTTTTGTGTTTTTTTTTGCTATAAACTCCCTCCTTCAAACTTTTGCGATATTGAGTCGAGGTGTTACTAGAACCTCACAATCACTATAGGCACGCCGCACCTTGTCACAGCTCCGGCGCGATAATTGGACAGTTTCTGTTCTTGAGTTCCAATAAAAGATAGTAATGCATTTCCAGACTTTTCACTGGGATGTGATTACAGCAATCCTTTGCTATAATGTGTATAATCTGCCTGTCTTTGCTCTTTGTCAGACCTGGCACCGTGTGGATGGGCTAAAACCAAAAAAACAGACTTCCCCTACACTTGTGTTTAACAACAAGCCGATCGGCGTGTAGCGAGCGGTCCCACGGCGGTTCTGTTGTTAGCGCTGTTGCATAACAACAACAACAACAAAAAAAAGGACTCAGGTTTGATGCACGGCTCTGGCCCCCTGTATGTAAGTCCGTGGGGGGTTTCCTCTGGGCGTTCCACTTTCCTCCAGCTGTCCAAGGACATGCAAATCAAATGAACTTGGCTCTCTAAATTACCCACAGGTATAAATGTAAACGATTGTCTCTACATCAATATTAACCCTGCAATGATTTCCTGGCCGGTGTCCCCGGAGAGAAATAACAGAAAGTAATGGATGAGCGAATCAATATTATGGGTATTTCATGATTAGAAATGATTCTTAAAACATGCATCCGAGGCAGCGTTACATAAATTGTTTCACGACTTTGTGCTGTGAAGTACTGAGACGTGATATGTAAAAGGAGGACTTGCCTTACAGCGGGTCCCTGTGCTATCAGATTCATGTCTCTGCAGTTGTGTTTGTGTACTGTAAATGGCACAGTGGTCAGAGGGCACAGTAAGTGGGAGGCTGGGGAGAACAGAGGAGAAAATACACCCGAGAGGAGAGACAACAGAGTGAAGGCGGGAGGAAGGGGTTGAAGGCAAAAAAAAAAAAAAGGGAGAGAAATGATAGCTGCAGATGAAGGGGCCAGGCGAGCATGTCAGCGTTGGCAAGGCTACATATTTCTAATGAAAAATAGGGAGCACCTTGTCATCCCCGTACTCAAGTCTGGAGCTACATGCACCCTGAGCCATCTATAGAGAAAGTTTCAGTCCCTCGCAGTCGGACAGGACCCAATTGTTCTTTGGCTCGGAGATGCAGCTCGCTTTTTGATGCATGGCTTCGACGTTACGGCAAACTTTTTGTAAGCCATGGCAGCGGACCAGAGGCTGTGCTCCACTTAGTAACGTTGCTCCACTTAGCAACACACTGAACTCCTGCCTGAAGATATTTTTACATTTTAGCGGTTGTTTTTTTTTATTATTATTATATTCTGCTAATAAAAATGCAAGTTTGAGACGGTAAAAGTCACGTATTCTCGTTTAGCTGCAAACTGAGCAATTTCATTGACTGAATTTGACTTATTCTACGCTCGGAGGAAGAATAATACAATTGAAAATAGGACATTTTCTAAGTGAAATACACTAATTGAGCACCAATTAAAAGCTGACACCCCAAATGTAACCGTTCCTCTATACTATGCAGATAATAAGGCTGGTGTTTACAGTGGTTGTTAAATTTGGGTGTTTGTATAGAGAGACTGTTCCCGTGCAGCCAGAAAACAGCAACTATTACATATGTGAGGTGATAATGTAAATCCCAGATGCAGGGTGTGCTATGCTTATTAACGCCTGCAGGTAACACGCTGAAACAAGGATTCTTATCTGAAATCATCGCTGTATAATGAAACAAACACTTTCTTGTATTCATGGTAAAGGAACTGTTGGTGAAGACGCAGTAGGCTGGTAATTAAAGTCGCCTCCAGGTAGCAGATTTAACCCCTAAAGCTCATCTTTGTGTATCTGAGTTACACATTTAGATGCTGTCTTTCCATGAAAATAACACCTTCCAACCTTAAACCGCTTTAGATGTGTCCGCTCTGGAAAGCTGACAGGATTATTACACAAGTTTGAATCTGTTTTTTCTTATGCTGTCATCGGTGAAATGCAGTTTCCAGCCATGGCTCATGATATGTCTTGTAGCGTATACAAACTTCCCACATGGGCATGTCAACAAGGTAAAAGATTTTCACTGCAGGGAGTGTTTAGCATAGTCAGAACTAGCTTTTAAAAGTCTCACATTTTAGGCATTTTGCTCATTTTAAAACCATAGAACTACTTGTTTACCACTAATTGAAAACAACTCCATAGCATTTTTCTGAACACAATCAACAAGTGGTTTGCTGTACTTGAATGCTTATATTTCATTCACTGACTTCCAAAATCATAATTTTTTTTTCCTCATCAGAGCTGTATTTCCATCCCACATCTGGATGGTGTTCATCAGGGTTAACTCAATGCCAGCGATGAGTGTGAAGCCGCCTGCGGGCCAGCGCGACCTTGTGGCTTTACTCTGATCAGAAGAACATCTATTATTATGTTTGGCAAAAAGCTTGCTGCAATCTTCATTTTATAACGTGCTCTTCCTGCTGACAGTGCTACAAGTATTTTTTTGTCACTGTCTCATCAAAATGTGAATATTATCAGCACATATCATTGTAATTATGTGATATAATAATGCATCATTGGCAGACTTTTGCAGAATTACGATGGTTGTTTCGTGTAATTTCACTCGCTCTCCGTGCTGTTTTCCGATAGAGAAATGGCGGCTTTCTGGTTGTGTAATGAAACTGTACGGACAGTGTCTGACATAGTTGCTTGTCCCCATTGCCAAGTTGTCAGTGGTCCACTTTAGAGAGCTGTTAGAGCGCCGGGAGGGGAGGGAGGGAGGGGAGGAGTTCAGCCTGAGTCTAATCCCTCTGCATGAAGGCTTAGGACTGAGAACTTATTCTCCACTTCTGGAGTCACTCTCCCTAATTATCCCCTCAAAGTCCTGCCGCAAAGTTCCCACAGACGAGATTTTTTATTTATTTTTTTTGCTTTCTGCCTCTGTGGCACTCTTTCTGTTTCTGCCTCGGTCCGGCTCTCTGTGTATATATATAATAAATATATATATGTATTCTCTCCCTGCCTGTCACCCCTTCTCTGCCTCCTGCTCTATCAGTCTCCCTCTCTGCCTTTGTCCCACCCTATTCATCTCTGTCTGCCTCAGTATTCTAGTTAGCCCTTCTCGCTTTCTCCCTCCTCGTCCTCCTCCTTCCTCTTCCTTGTGTTTCTCCAGTTCAAAGTCCCGTGGACATCATGAGCCTCACATCACAGTCGGGCTCAAGATGGGAGAGCTTACTGCCTGTCCACAGATGCTGCCAGGCTTCAGTGGGATTTGTGTACAGCCCCTGTCCACACTCCCCACAGCTGTTTGGTTAGTTCTCTGGACTTGGCCGGTGCTG